CTGCCGCTGTGGCTGGAGGTGATCCTGATCATGGGGCTGCTGGTGCTGTCGGGGATGTTCAGTGGGCTCAACCTGGGGCTGATGGCGCTGGACCCCATGGAGCTGCGCATCGTGCAGAACTGCGGCACCGACAAGGAGAAGAGGTACGCGCGCAAGATCGAGCCCATCCGGAGGAAAGGCAACTACCTGCTCTGCTCCCTGCTGCTGGGCAACGTGCTGGTTAACACCACCCTCACCATCCTCCTCGACGACCTCACGGGCTCCGGGTTCGGCGCCGTCATCGCCTCCACCATCGGCATCGTCATCTTCGGGGAGATCGTGCCGCAGGCGCTGTGCTCCCGCCACGGCCTGGCCGTGGGCGCCAACACCATCGTGGTCACCAAGTTCTTCATGCTGGTGACATTTCCCCTCTCCTACCCCATCAGCAAACTCCTGGACTGCATCCTGGGCCAGGAGATCGGCACCGTGTACAACAGGGAGAAGCTGGTGGAGATGCTGAAGGTGACGGAACCCTACAACGACCTGGTGAGGGAGGAGCTCAACATGATCCAAGGAGCTCTGGAGCTGCGCACCAAGACGGTGGAGGATGTGATGACCCCTCTGCAGAACTGCTTCATGATCAACAGTGATGCCATCCTGGACTTCAACACCATGTCAGAGATCATGGAGAGCGGCTACACCCGCATTCCTGTCTACGAGGACGAGCGCTCCAACATCATGGACATCCTCTACGTCAAGGACTTGGCTTTCGTGGACCCTGATGACTGCACCCCCCTCAAAACCATCACCAAATTCTACAACCACCCTGTCCATGTTGTCTTCCACGACACTAAGCTGGATGCCATGCTGGAGGAGTTCAAAAAGGGTGAGAGAAGGTCACGGGGTGCTGCTTCCTTCCAGCTGGAAGCAAAACTCCAGAGAGTTTTGCCAGCTGGAGCTGCCTGGGGTCCCCATGGTCTGGGTGGTCACAATGCAGAGGGGACAGGGACCTGGGCACAGGCAGGTGGTGGTTTGGTGCCTGCAGCCACATGGATTCCAGGGTTGGGAGCTTTACTGTGCCCAACTCCAGCCTCCAGGAGCACTTTGGGAGTGTTTCCTTGCTCCTTGTTTTTAATTATCAGCCCTGGAGGCCCTTGCTGGAAAATCGCTCAGCGCCCTGGTTTGGGCTTGGCTCCTTCCTCCAGGCTCTTCCCTGACACTGGGAATGGGGAGGGCTGCTCAGTGCTGGCTCCAATCCCTGCTCTGCTTCCTGCTCCTGGCATCGGGGCACCGAAAGGCAGGAGTGGGATGTGGGATGAGCCCACCGGGTGCAGGAGGCAGGATTTGCCCTTCCCAGGGGCCCTGCAGGGATCCCCTGCCCTCCCCAGCTCCTGTGCCAGGCCTGGATGAAGGAGGATCTGGGCTGTGGAGCAGCTGTGCCAGGCCTGACCCCACAGCTCCTGTTACACTCCCGGAGGGTCAGGGCAGTGCCGGAGCCAGGCGGTTTGTGGGACATTCCAGAGGGTTGTGCTGGGATTTAGGGGATCCTAAATTCCTCCTGCAGCAGGAGCTCGGCTCCTGGGAGAGCATTTGGGAGCTGGGAGTCCATCCTGGCTGAGCTGGGCTAACCCATTCTCAGCAGAGACCTGGGAGAGGGTTTGGGAGTCCATCCTGGCTGTGCAGGAGCCTAGGTGAGGATTTGGGAGCTGGGAGTCCCTCCTGGCAGCCCAGGGCTGTCCCTTTCCACCCCAGTTCCCAAATCCAGGCTGTAGGAGCGGGATTGCTGCTGGAGCTGGAGTTATCCTGGCTGCTGGCAGCAGCTTTCCCCCCGTGAATCCTGATTAAAGGATTTAGGCACACTCCTTCCGCTCGCAAAGCCGCCCGTGTCCTGTGCTCTTATTATTCCCTCGCTGCCTCCCTGGGTCAGGGAATTTGTGGGGCTGTTGCTGAGGTGAACCCTGAGAGCTCTGCCCTCATCCCCCTGATCAGGACCTGGATCAGGTGCTGGAGATGCATCCAGAGGGAATAATTAACTGGCTGTGTTTTTGGTTGTGCTAATTGGCAGCCAGAGTGAGTGCCATGGGGGGGCACAGCCTTGGGGTGCCAGGTCCCACAGCCGTGTCTGGCCTTTTCCTGACCTCTCAGCACACACCCAGCATGAGAGTGGGGAATTTGCCTATGGAGACAGGCTGGGAAAGCTGGGAGTGTTCAGCACGGTGAAGGGAAGCTCCAGCGAGACCTTAGAGCCCTTTCCAGTGCCTAAAGGGTCTCCAAGAGAGCTGGAGAGGCACTTGGGACAAGGGCCTGGAGTAACATCATTCCATGGAGCAGCTGGGGCAGGATGGCACCACTTTGGCACGAGCTGATGGTTTGGGTTGAGCTGGAGTGAGCCAAACTGCATCCTGCCAGCATGGACTGAGGGAAGCCACGAATCCAGGGCTGGAAGGCTTTCCTGCCTGCAGGGACCTGCTGCTCGTGGCCAAGGCCTGGGCAGTGCTCCTGCCCTTGGCTCTCTTCCCCAGGATGTTTTGGCTCCAGGTGCCCAGAGTGTTTCCTCTGAGATGGGGTCAGCTTGGCAGAGCTGCTGAGGAAACTGGGAGAGGGATGCTGGAGGCAAACCAGTGCCTGGTGGTGATGGTGGTGTTCCCTGTGCCCACAGCCCACGGTGACGTGGCACAGGCTCCTCCAGCAGCACATCCCATCTCCTGGGAACCCCCTGCCACATCCCACATCCCTCTGGCTGCTCCCTGCTCGAGGGCGCCTCTATCCCAGCCTTAATTACTGTCACAGCCTTAATTAGTGTCATTACACTGGGAGTGAGTGCCCAGCCCAAGGACTCGTTTAGATTTTAACTGGTTTATTGCTCCGGGGAGGGAAGGGCTGGGCCTGGTGACATTCCAGTGACATCCCAGGGCACTGGGGGCACTGGGTGGAGGTTTCTCCCCATCCAACATCCATGTGTGTGTCCACAGGGAAGTCCCACCTGGCCATTGTGCAGAAGGTGAACAATGAGGGTGAGGGAGACCCTTTCTACGAGGTGCTGGGGCTGGTGACGCTGGAGGACGTCATCGAGGAGATCATCAAGTCGGAGATCCTGGATGAGTCAGATACCTACAGTAGGTTTTTGGGGCTCAGCTCCTCTTTCCCCTTCCCATCACCGTGTGCTGGAGGTCCCACCTGCCTCCCTGACCTGACACCTGCTCCCCACAGCTGACAACCGCAGCAGGAAGCGAGTGGGCAACCAGAAAAACAAAAGGGACTTCTCGGCCTTCAAGGACCCAGTCAACGAGCTGAAGGTCAAGGTGTCCCCACAGCTGCTGCTGGCTGCACACAGATTCCTCTCCACTGGTGAGTTTGGGGAGGAGGGAAGCTCCCTGTGGATCAGGGCACCTCCAGCTGTGGGGTGATGGCTCCAAGAGCTCCCTGACATCAAGCTGGATGTGTCCTCATGTCCCTGGTGGCTCTGTTCCTGTCCCCCTGACTAGCAAGAGTCACTCCAGCCAACCTATCCAACTCTCCATCCCTCAGTGCTCCCCAAAATGGGAAGGCACAGGGCTCAGAGATGCCAGCCCTGCCTCTGATGCTCTGCAGGGCCCTGTTCCTCCAGGATGCTCCTGTCTCCAAGCCTGGGCCTTGCTGGGGACTTGGGGTTCTGCCCCAAGGAGGTGTTGATGGGGCTCAGCCCGATCCAGGCACCATCCCAAGGGACAGGCTGGATGCACCTTCATCTAAGGGGACAAGTACCATGGCTCTGACCCCTTTCCCCTCTCTCACAGAGGTGTCACTCTTCACCCCCAATTTCATCTCGGAGAAGATCCTCCTGCGGCTCCTCAAATATTCCGACGTCATCCAGGAGCTGAAATTTGATGAGGAGAACAAGAAATCCCCACGTCACTTCCTCTACTGCAAGAACAAACCAGCTGACTACTTCATCCTCATCCTGCAGGTACCCAGACACGAGGAGGGGTCTCTGGGGGAGATCTCCCCACCCTGGGAAGGCTGCAGAGGGGGTCACATCCCTCCCAGTGCCACGGGATGTGGGTTCTGGAGTGTGATACCATCTCTCCCTGGCAGGGCAAGGTGGAGGTGGAGGCTGGCAAGGAGTGCATGAAGTTTGAGGCAGGAGCCTTCTCCTACTATGGGGTGATGGCTCTTGGCCCCACTCCTGGATCTGGTGAGCACCCCCTGAACCCCTGGGTTGAAGCTGCTGCCGGGAGACGCCAGAGGCTCCGACCCTGCACTGCTGTCACCTGTGTCACACCCTGTCAGTGTGCACAGGGTGTTGTGTTCCCCTGCCCAGGGCTGACTCCTCCATCCTGGTGCCTCTGGAGGATGGAAAATTGGCCTGGTGTCACCCAGCCCTGCTCACAGTGACATTGGGCTTACACTGGTGACTTTGGGGTCCTGCACACCCTGTGGCCACCCTGATTTCCCCTGGGGCAGAGCAGCAGGGGGATGGCACTGACTGGGTGAAGTATCCCTGTCCCCACTGCTGCATGTGGTTCTGGTGTCACCCCAACTTTCCAAGCCTGTCACTGTGTCCCCATAACCCTCACCTTGTCCCTAACCTCACACAGGGCGACTGAGCCACCAGTTTGGGGATCACAGTGTCCTAGGGCTGGGATTGTCCCTTGGGCAGGGGGATCAGGGGAACCAGAGGCTCTTTGCTCCCTGTTCCTGGCTGGTGGTTGTTGGACAGGTGACAAACAGGGATCAAATCCAGCACTGTTGGAATTGGTGCTCAGCTAGGACAGGCAGCGCTGGGGTGGATGTGGGTGGGGATGGGATTCTCCTGCACAGCTCTAGGACAGAATTCCCAGATCCCATCCCAGCACCTCCCAGAACCCTCCCCAGCCCTGGAGCTGTGTCTGACCTCCTCCCTCCTCCCCACAGAGAT